GCCCGGCCGCCCGCTCCGCGCCCCGCGCGCCGCCCGCTGGGGGAAAGTGGAGACGGGGAGGGAACAAGTGAGGTCTTCCCGGCCAGCCAGGCCTTCCCAGCGCAGCGTGTGCTTAGCAGCCACGGTTCCTCAGCCCTGCGTTCTGCCCTGGCTTAGGGCAGGCATCCGAGCGCTCGGAACTCCGAGCCGCCCAAACTCTCCCGGCTTCTTGCAGCGCTTCGCCCGTACCCGAGGGAACTTCGGTGGCCGCCGACTGCAGCAAGGAGGCGGCTCCGCGGTGGGTCCGGGCCAGCCCGGAGTCGCCCCCGCGGCCTCCCTGCCCGCCCGGGACCCGCGCGGCACTCGCAGGGCACGGTCCCCTCCCCCCAGGTGGGGGTGGGGCGCCGCCGGCCGCCCCGATCCGCAGCTTTTGTCATTGATCCTAAGGTGCTCGCCTCGCTTCTGACCTGGCTTCCAGTCTGGCTCGGCGGGACCCCGAGTCCTCGTCTGCGTCCTGTCCCCCAAACTGACAGGTGCTCCCAGCAAGTCGCCACGACTCATCGCCGCTCCCCCCGCGCCCCCCCCCCCCCTTTCCTCCCTCGCCTCCCCCACCCTCCGCACTTCGGCACAGCTCAGGATTTGTTTAAACCTTGGGAAACTGGTTCAGGTCCAGGTTTTGCTTTGATCCTTTTCAAAAACTGGAGACACAGAAGAGGGCTCTAGGAAAAACTTTTGGATGGGATTATGTGGAAACTACCCTGCGATTCTCCGCTGCCAGAGCCGGCCAGGCGCTTCCACCGCAGCGCAGCCTTCCCCCGGCTGGACTGAGCCTTGGAGTCGTCGCTTCCCCAGTGCCCGCCGCGAGTGAGCCCTCGCCCCAGTCAGCCAAATGCTCCTCCTCGGCCTCCTCCTGCTGACATCTGCCCTGGCCGGCCAGAGAACGGGGACTCGGGCTGAGTCCAACCTGAGCAGCAAGTTGCAGCTCTCCAGCGACAAGGAGCAGAACGGTGAGTCTCGCCCCCCCTTCCCGCGTCTCTCTGTGCGTTCCGGTTGGCATTGTGCGTGGCATGTGGGGTCTTCCAGCCCAGGAGCTGATGGTCGCGACTCTGGCGCTGCAGATGGGAGTCTCGTGAGTCTGCTTGCACTTTCAGGGGGTGGGTGTGGATTTCAGGAGTTTGCAACTTCCGAAGCTCACTGGGTAGAGCGAGCGGGGAGTGCCCCGCAACCTCATATTGGAGAGGATGCATGAGCTATGGAAAGGATTGGAAAAGCCAGCTGTGACCACATTGCTAGGTGGCATATGGCCGGAGTTACAAGTAAAAGAACTGCCTTTAAGAGGAAATCTCAAAATGAATGAGTCGTGGCAGGTTTGACTTTAAGCAGGTATGGGGGGGCGTTTAAGAATGGACAATTCAGGAAAGGTATCAGAGTCCTTAATTGAAACACTGTATATGGGAAGGCAGGCACCAATAAAGAATTAGGTGAGAAATAGAGAGGTCAAGAGGCCACTTGGACATTTTCAAAGGGATTGGTTATGGTTTTTCTCTTGCACTTTTTTTTTTTTTAAAGCGTGCCTTTGTGCCCTGAAGTCCTCACCTTTTGGTGGTGTATTTTTTTGTACGTGTTCATGAATGACTATTTTGTGTGTGTTGGAAGCGATTTAATCCTGCATAGGAAATGAGAATTACGTTCAGCTTTCAAGTGTACCTGAAATGTTTAGAAAACTTTCAGATGCAAGTTCCCCTGGGCTGGGATTGCACAGAGCTGGAGAAAAGCTTCTTTCATAAGTCCAGGGAAGCTTCGGGTGTGTAATTTGCTTAGCCTCTGAACCCCATATGATTCACATCATTCAATTTCTAAACTCTTTTGCTCTTGATCTACCATTATAAAGCAATTTTTGAGGCTCTTTTGTAAATAGAAATCTTATACCACACATGAAACCACAACGCTAATGTAGGCTGTCTAAAACTGGAATATTAAATACCCTGTTTACAAGTGGAGGTTCTTGCTCCTATTTGAAAAGAAATATACATGTTTTTCTACTTTGTCATCTGTTTACAATGCAGCTTCATGAGCCAGGTAAGACACCTTCAAGAGACATTTGGGAAATGAAGATGGAATACAAGCATTGCTTAACACTCAGTGGCATTTTCTATATATAGGGGATGCTTCAAGGCACATCTGGATTTCAACTCTATAAAGTACTCATCTTAAAACAAAGTCTAAAAATACATATACACTCTTCATCATTCCTATGCGTTGCTGGGCCAGGATATAGCATGGCATTTACTGTTATGCTTGCTCCTTACCTCTGGCTAGTGTGATGGCATGTGGCACCTTAAGGCTCTTGAACTACTGATCAAAGGGCAGCCTAGTGATCTATCTATAATCATAGGGCCTGCAGAGACCTGAGATCAAAGGAGCCACAACACCAGCTATACCCAGGCAGGAAGCAAATCCAACCAACCTTTGTACTTTCTAATACAAAATAAATGTCTAGTTTAAAATATTGCTTCTTTCTAGATCTCCATAGCAACATAGCTTCAACTTATCACTGCACAATGCTCCTTTCTATTTCTGGTCCCTCATCTCCTATTGCTGGGTCCCAGCATCCCCCATACTCCTTGCTACTCTTGCATCATTTTGATTTTTTCTTGCAGTCCTGTCTTCTGATCCACATGCTATCATCACTTTGCAATGAGCCCCAGAGCTTTCAACTGACTGCAGCTAGCTACTGGGTAGCTTCACATTCTCAGAAGATGGGAGTTCAGTAAGTCAGGCCACACACATTCTGGTGCCATCTGATGCTGGGCCATTCTCATTCCTAAGATGCATGATGCTAAAAATAGTCTCGTTGTTGTTTCCTAATCTGCAGGCAGAGGATTTGGCTATGTTTAGCTCTTTGGAGGGTTGGCAGCAGGAAGTAGAGAGCAGAGGAACTACTCACCTTATAGTTTCCAGACTAAGAGAGGTAGTACTATCTAACACTAGGGGGCAATATAGAGCTATTTTTCTGCACATGCTCAAGTTGACTTTTACACTTAGGGTAGGTTTCATGTTTTGAGGATTACAGGTGGGTGTGGAAGAAGAGCCCTTTGGAATGTGACCAGATTTCTTGGAATAACAGCAGATTTTTTTTTCCTTTTTTTTGACTTCCCAAAGTGCCACTTCCTTACACTGGTTATTTTCTACCCTCCTATAGGGTTGTGTTTGAGTTTTGATTGCCCTGTTGCTCTTTGTGTTGGTGATTGGTTCTGTAGGCATGAACCTTCTTAACAGTTAGTTCCCTTAGACAATGCCAGGGGTCAACTTGATGCATGTAAAGGCCTTCCAAGGGTCAAACACAAAGTGTTCAAACTGATCTGGTTTTGTGATCATAAGAGATTGGTCCTGTTTTCAAGAGCTCCTTCCTCTCCATGGTGCTTATATTCCTATGACTGACTAGTTTCCATAATAATTTGATATCATAAGTGGAAATCGGGTACTATATCTGTTCCATAGTGAAGCTAGATATGCACACTTAGAATGGAGTATATGGACATGACTCAAAATTAGGAATTAGCAGCATTTACCCAGTTACTAGTTACTTGACTGCTGTTTGTTTGTTTGTTTCCCATTTTAAGTTTATAGCTCTTAGCATTTGAATGTAACATACTTTTATCTTTTCTTCCCATTGTCAGTGATGGAACTCAGGCCTCACAAGTTTTAGATAAGCGCTATCCCAGTGAAACCTACCCCAGCTCTTTTTCATTCCTATTGTTATTTCATACCCTGATGGCTCCTATATGAAGCAAAGCTTTCTAGATTTTCCTTGAGGAAATGAATTGAAAAATAACTTTTACTCTCTTGGAAGACATCTGGCTGTTAAACACTAGGAGGAAATACTTACGTTGGCAAGCACAGGCTCCAGATAACTATGTCTACTGTGAGGTGCTGAAGTTCTTCTACTGAGTTCCAATAGGAGGAATTACATGGATATTCAGAAGCAATAAGAAGAAAGGAGTTTGTTCACCAGATGTAGCAAATAGATACCAATAACAAAACTACCAGTGGATGGATGCTTCACTTGTCTTATGTAAGTGGTTTTAACTGACCCCTAATCTGAAGTTTCTTCTTGCTGTGCTAGTTCTCCCTAACCACCTTGGGTTTTGACTTAGAGTTTGCCTTTATGAGGGCTCATTTATGAGCTATAGTTACTGCATATGCTCTTTCCTAAGGGGAGTTTCATGGTTCTTTGGGCAAGTTCCCTTGGGGAGAATGGTCCACTCAAAAGGCTTTGGAATGCTTGGTCCCTCTTTTAGTGCTAGCTCTTTACATTGCTGCCACATGCCTGCACCTAATCAAGCCCACATTTTACCCTTCAGATAGGAGCCTGGAAGCTCTTTTGTGAACAAACTGATCACAGTCTTTAGAAAGATGCCCTACAGTATACAGGCTCCGACTGGGACTTTTCTTCAAGACAGTCCTTAAGTTTTGGAGTGTGACCTTCATGACATTTATTTTTGTTATTTATGAGCTTTAAGAAGAAACTTCCTCCTATGGTTCTGTTCTGTATGAGAGAGCTGAGGCAGCTGAATAAGTAAAGAACAATTATGTAATGATGAGTGTAGTCCTTTCCTTCCAATAGATGGGTTTTGGAAGTTCTGTACCAACTGCTAGGGTCTATACTGAATCAGATATACATTACATTAAGTTTAAATGGCATTCAAAAAGTACAAAGACCCTGTGGAAGCTTTGCAGATGGGCATGGAATGTGTTAAGCCCTTTTAAACAGATGCTGGGATGGGAACTGAGATTTCTTAGCAGTTCCAGCCTGACTGATACAGCCTGAGTGGCATAGCTTTCTCAGTCAGCTAAGCCACGCCCCCATGTCATGTCTTATTCACCTTCTTGAAATCTCCTTCTCACCTGTCTTACACTCACTTCTGCCTTTGTGCTTGTAATGTCTGTAATGTTAAAATTGTTAGTTCTAGCTATAAAGTTTCATGTCTCTTACATAAAAGTTTTGATAATTTGATGTATATTAATTTACATAAAACACCCACAAATCAAATATTTCCAAGCTAGAGTTGTCCCCAGAGCTTTGTTTTGTGTCAGTCAAAATACCATGTCATGAATGAAGTTCCTTCATTAAATTATTCTTATTTTAATGTTTTCAGTCATTCATTTGAAACTTTTGTCTGTAGCTCAAATATCTCTGTATTCCTTGTGTAATTGCTAATTCACTTATTAAACAATCTGTGCTGTGCATTTATCTCCACATCTGGCTTCAACTGTGGGTAAAACTCGACCCATTCCTTTTTCCTATGAGTCTGTCTACGGGATAATTTCCTATTAATGTGCCCTAGGTCTTATGCTATTCTGTTAAAGTGGTGAAATGTTCGTAGTGAGTCTACTCTTCCACCAGCACAAAGGGTCCAGCCATTCAAAGCTGCCTGGCACAATCCCAAGTCTGGAAAAAGCTCCTTTAACTCTCGGTCTCAGAGCTGAGCGGTCAGTGTCTCTATCATGCCAATAGCAAAGTTTTCTGACACTGTGGAAAACTTAGCAGAGACTGTAGGTAAACTTACTGAAGGGACCGAGGATGAAGAAGGGGTGTGGTTTATTTTGGTTACTCCTTACCTTCTTGCAACCATTTGGCTTCCCCTTTTAAGGATTTTCCCTGGAAGAGATATTTAGGCAGACATAGGCACTCCAGTGGCTTAGCTGTCTGTCTGAGCCCCTGGAAAATAGTAACCACTATTCCTTTGTATAACTTGTAACTTCCTGTCATGGATATTAGACACAACTTCTCCCAGGACAGGTTTTGCTGACCCTTCAGTCAAAACTAGTCAATTTTCCTGCCTTGTCAAATATAATAGCATAATTAGCTGCATAGAATTTTCCATGCTTTGATATATTCCTCTTGTTTCTTGATTTTTTTTCTTTTCTTTTCTCTCCTTTTCTTTTAATTGTCTGTTCTTCCCTCTCTTGTTATAGTGTCTGAGTTTCTGAGAGCATGGGTCTA